GTGTGTGTGTGTGTGTGTGTGTGTGTGTGTGTGTGTATACACAAGCTACGAGAATCACCCCCTGTCCAGAAAATATCTGAGGAATACCCAGTGAGGCTGTGTGACCTCAGAAATGATCCTAGGTTCCCTCTAGCAAGTCTCTCCTTCCATTTGCCACTCACCTCGGAGAACATGGGCAGTTTTTTGGCAAAGTCCACCACACGGGTGATGGCCGGGGTGATGATCTTGGTAAACTCGCTGAAGGCCTCTAGGTCTACCTTGTCTCCATCTGGCATGGAGACAATGGGTGACTGGCCAATGTCATCCGGCTAGAGGGAGAGAGATGAGGGTCACTGGGGCTGTGGACCCCTTTCAACTGCTCACTGAGACTCCCTGCCCACCAGGGGGAGCTCCAAGGCAGCCTGGGGGAAAAAAATCCCAGCCATGACTGTGTTCCAAAAGGATAGCCAGGGCGAGCATTTCAAATTTGCTAGTGCTGATAATAGTGAGAATAGTAGTCAATAAATCGTAATAAAACACAGCCATAACGACTGAAAACACGGCAGCAGACCATAGGCTGGCCACACTGTTTTACATAGCTCCTTTTAATCCTCATCACAAATCTTTATGGAAGACAGCACTTCATAGACAGAAGCCTAGCACAGTTAAGTGGTATGACCAGAGTCACACAACCAGTCCTTAGTGTAATTTCCATCCCTTAGCATACTCAGGGAGCCTGGCCCCAGTGGTCCATCGCCTTCCGGCCCTCAACTTGGCAGTAAGTTCTGTGAGGGTTCAATAAAACGCCTGGAGCCCTGCAGGTGCCCCACAATACTGTTATGTTGACTCTGTCCTCAGTCCCTGTGGGTTAGCTCTACCTTGGAATTCAGGAAGATAAGGCCCAGTTCTCATGGAGCATCCCACTGGATGGAACAGACAGGCTCCAGAAAGCAAAGGTGTAGAAAACCAGAACTGGGGGCTGGAGAGATGGCTCAGTGGTTAAAAGGAGCCCGGTTCAATTCCCAGCACCCACATGGGAGCTCACAACTGTCAGTACCTCTTGTTTCAGGGGATCCAACACCCTCACACAGACAGACACGCAGGCAAAACACCAATGTGCAATACAAATAAATAAATTACAAAAAGAAAAAGAAAAGAAAGCCGTAACTGCCAACAGGTACAGTGCGCCAGGTTTGGGTTGGATTAAACCAAGAAGGCTCCCAGGAGAGTAGAACCTCTGCTCTCTGGGTGTGCCCGATTTCTTACTCCTCTGCTCTCTTGGTGTGCATGCTTCCTTACCAGGAATTTTCGCCTCTGCTTCCAGTGGCTGCCCTGGGCGTTGGTGCTGCGATGGGCCTCTGTGGCAACGTGGATCAGATCCCACTCTTCAGGAGTGGGCTCTGGTCGCTGCTGCAGCGATCGGATCATCTCTTCCTTCCGTCTCCGCTCCCGGTTCTGCTCAATCAGCTTGCGTTTGGCCACTCGCTTCGAATCATCTAAAACCACTGTTGACAGACAAAAGACACTTTGCATGGCAACCCCCACCCCCCCAACGATGCTCAGAAATTGCTTGTCCTCGTACAAAGGTCAAGTGACTTCCCAAATCACTTAGCAATAGGGTGGCACAATACAAACCATGTTTAATCACTGGAACCCAGTCAACTCTAAATAGGCTGGCTTGAGGAATACCATGTTCTGGTTTGACCTATGGTATGAGGAGTCGCTAGCTGACCCTTCTACTCAACCCACAGTTGAGGAAATACCCCCTCTTCATTTAGATGTGCCTTCCCTGGGGTGCAGGAACCCTGCTAGGTTGGGTACACAGGAATTTTTACTTAACAACTCCCTCTCTAAGGTCCTGAAATGGCAAGAAGCATCAAGCCTACCCAGGAATTGCACTTCCTTTGGGATGAGGGCACCAGATCCCAAATCTGAGATCGAGACTTTACAATCAGCCTGACCTGGACTAGGGCTGCACCACTCTGCCCTGAAGGTCCCCAGGAAGGGATCTGCTAGTCTTATACTCAACCCCACCATAGCTGCTTGACTCCATTGCCCCATGGGTGCCTCTTACAGTCCATGGCCATGCCCACAGCGATGCACTTCTTAAAGCGGCACAGCTGGCACTGATTCCGGGTGATCTTGTCAATGACGCAGCAGCTGTCATATTTGCAGGAATAGGTGGGATGGAGATTCTTCTGGATCGTGCGTCGAAAGAAGCCCTAGGGTGGGGACACATGAAGCAGGTTTTCGCCATTATGACTTCCTCTCCTGAGCCAACCACACAGTTCATCGAGTAAGACTGGGGCACGGGAAGCAAGTGTCATCTGGCATCCACATGTCACTATAGGCCCAGGATTGCTGGATCCTACCAGGCCAAAGGAGCTGAGAAATACATGCCCTTACCCTCAGGCTGCAGAGGGATGAGGAATGTCTGTGGTGGCAGAGCAGGGAATGTAACAGAAAGCATTGGGCCTGGGCTGGTGTGGGCGTTATGAGGCCTTGGAAGTCTACTTTAAATCATTCTTAAATTTTCATCATATATTTTCCAAGACAGAGTCTCATGTAGCCTAAGCTGGTCTCACACTCACTGTGTAGCTAAGTCTGACCTTGAACTTCTGACCTCTGGAGTTAGGATTTCAGGCAAGTGCCACCACAGCTGGTTTACGTGGTGCTGGGATGGACCCCAGGGTTTGTGCACACTAAGCAAGCACTCAACCAAAAGAGCTGCGTTGCCAGCCCTAGAAAAGCCAATTAATATCTTGCCTAGCTTGCTTAATGACTCTAAAAGCAATGCTGACCCCAAAAGCATTCTCATATACAATGTTTTGCCTATTTTTTTTTTTTTTT